TCCTCATTGCTTGCCTTTATTCCTGTTTAATCTCTAACGTTAATGCTTCTCATTGTGGTTATGTTTGCATTGATAGTGCGTTGTACAATTCGATTTAGTTTGATTAACTGAAGGTCATTCTAACCAATGACTCTCAGTGGGAAACATAGGTGGGTGATTCTTGTGCACAAATATTATGATCTCAACTAGTCGACAATATTCTACCTGATTCAAAGTATACTTTTTGTTTTAGGACTGGAGTGCATAGCTGACTAACCACACCTTTGAGGTAATTTTGAGTTTTGATGCTATTTCAGTGAAGCTCAGTCAGCTAGGCAGTAGAGTAGGACGCAGAGATCGATCTCCTGCGCTCAGACCACACCGAGTTGGTTTTGATCACAATTCCAATGACAGTTATAAGGAGAAATCCGAGTTAACTCAACGCTTTCACTGGCCAGAAATGTTTCATATTAACTTGATACAGATGACCACGTCAAAGCCAGGCCTAAATGGACTGACAGTGAATACCGCAAAGTTCAGTAGGCAGCATAACAATGGACACCTGAAATTTCACCACTTATACCCCAGTCAGTCACTTTTTCTTAATGATTCAGCGATTCAGATGGCGTGTCATTAGAGGTATTTTCAACATACTGTGATACAGATGTGATAGAGACAATATGCGCCAAAGGAGTACAATTCTCACATCTCCCCACAATTAAATTCGACATTATCAACAGACTACTATGCATATTTGAACATACAATTTCATGCCATTTGATGCAAACCGAACTCACAAGCTCAGTGTTTGGTTAACGATTATAAACTATATATATATATACATAGAGCAGTTTGGTCAATGAAAATATACCTTGGCTTCCGTGTCTTGCTTTCAGTTGTTACAAAATTACTAGAGAATTTCACCAACAGCTGTTTCAGATTGATAGTCAGGGACAGAAAGCGGGACAGGAAAGATAATTGCCAGGCTACAGAGAAAGAGAAAGAAAGAGAAAAATATTTCCTACATGATTTATGTACATGGAAGCAGATTTATATATAAGGATAAAATATATACTGAGCAGAACCTCAACAAGTTCGACAGTGACATGCGGAAGGTTATGTAGGGAATAAGTGAACGCATGTGGAAGTTATTGTAGCCAGTTGTAAAGGGGAGCAGAAAACCGAGTGTAGTGGAAATATGCCTATGAAGACTTATGTTCAACTTGGAACTCAGGGTGTGAACAAGAAGAAAAAGAAGAAGCGGAAGAATTTACACCACTTTCCAATTATTTCGCTACTCAAACTAAATGATCGTTTTTTTACCAATATATGCGTAGTGACTACTAGCAAGTAGTCAGTCTCTCTCCTCAACAAAATAAACCACATTCTAAACTCCAATGGACCACTTCGCCACCTGCCCCAATTCACTGTTAAAAATATAGTCTTAATGAAGTCAACTGGAACCTGTATCAGGAATCAGAGGAACGACTCACCTTCAATTATTTCGACTGTGAACAAACAAGTGGGTAGAAAAATTGTGAATACACTAATATTCTCCTGACAAGCATTTCTTCTTAGGTTAGTTACATAGTTCGAGGTGGAAACTAACTATACACTTCATTGCAAACCCAACATACTCAGGACACAATATGTGGCCTGCTTCAAACCACAGCTAAATAAAATTGAAAGACTGTGTATCGTGTTGACTGATACGATTTGTCTGGAATCCCTCAAATCAATCTTTGTAATGTGAGGTTCAGGTGACTGATTTTGTGTTAGCCACTTTGTTGTGATGATCTCCGCATATTTGATTATCATTAGACTGAATGAGTTTTTTCAGACTGCAAGGTTTCAGACTATTTCGTTGCAGTGGAACACTTTCCAATCCGTGTTGTTTGAAATTCACTGCATTCTACCCTCACAGATTTATTCCACTGAACTTCAGCCTTAGTCTTCTTGGTCTCTCCGTTAATGTCAACCTGGCTACAGTTTTCTCACACCTTTCACTTAGGTACTACTAAGTGTTTCAAGAAGTTCACAACTAGTCAGAAGAATTAACCGTATTCACCAAAATCATATAAAAACGTATTGGAAAGTAAGCGACATGCATCCTATGCTGCAAACTGTCTAAATTGGGAAGTAATGAAAGACTCTGTAAAGTCATTTGCTTTCCTCACGTTTTTCCTAGTACAAACAATAGTGGTCATTTATATCTTATACTACGAGTTACTACTTGAGAATGGCTATCCCCCACACCAAGCTTTATAGATAAACTCATAGAGCGGAAACGCAGCAATGAGTGACCCATCTCAGTTCCTGATTAGATGATATACATGAAAGTGGCGTTCACAGGCGACCTTCTGGCCGACACTTTAAAGAGAACAATATCTGGCTGTCTGAAAGCAACACTCCTGCTGATACATTACAATTGGTATTCTCAAGCTAACTTGTGTTCCTCAGTAACTGAAGAGGTAAACTGTCGCATTCGACCGACTATATGTATATCTGGCAATTTACCATCTCATTTGGAGAGAGATATATATAGGTCCCTGGATGCATGCTTTATCTAAAAGAGTCAAGTGAATTTATCCTGGTCCCCTATGAAAAGGTAACATTGAATCAATTAGGAGTGCTATAATTGAGAATACTTTCAACACTGGTCACTCAATATGCATGGAGGATTCATTCAAAGTCTTTTTCAAAGTCAAAAGAATTCTGTCGAAAACGGTAAGTTTCCGCATACTTTGTATTGTTGAGACGTAAACGACACGGATAGAAAACCCTGATTTATGTACACAGATGAAACTTCTTCTCCACCTCCTTCTACCTTGGGTATATTTCCAAGTTGTATTGTGGTGGTATGTTACAGAAAATGTGTCCCAGTGGAATATGATTCTCATATATTTTCACAGTTCAATACGACATTAGTAGCAGACTATGATATATCTAATTGAACATTCTGTTTGTTGCTAGAGCCCGAATAAGTTTCTCACAGTTCACTACTGCGTCAACAAGAGGATACCATGTACATTTGAACATTCCACTTCATGTCGTTTAATGGAAACCAATAGCACACAGTCAGTGATTGGTTGAACAATATTAACTGCATATGTGGAAACATCGCTTTGATCAATTAACGTTTGTCTTGACTTCCGTGTCTTGCCTTCTATTGTTTGAGTGTTCACATGACAGCTTAGTAACATCTTCTCAACCAACCCTTTGCTTGCCTTTTTCACCCATTATAAAACTGATTTTGGACTTGTGTCTCTAAACTCTTTTACCCACATCCTATTTCATATTACGCAATTCCTACCAATACTTACCAATCTTCTCCCACCACCCCATCTAGTTACAATTCCCAATTATTCATCACAGTTTAGACGTATTTTGATGACGTAATTACTAACCCTTACTAATTTCTCATTATTGTCTGACAATCCCAATGTACGCACATACACACATACACAAAGTAATTATATATTAATGTTATTGAACAGCTGAGTGGGCGAATTCGCCGCCGGAAAGAGACTCTTCTCTGAACATTTTATTCTTAAATTGGGAAGTTATAAAGGAATTTGTAAAGCCGTTGACTATTCTCGCGGCTTTGCCAATACAGATAACAGTGGTCACCTATGTCTTATTCAAGTGGTTACTTCTTTACACTACCATCCAATCTTAGCGAAACACACAGTCTCTACAACCAGCAATCACAACATGTTGGTATCATCGACACGAATGTAAGTGTGTTATTCAGGCCTCTGACAGTGGGACGACACTCTTATTATTGTCATGCTCCTGAATGAACCTTACTACTCGGACAACTATCCGCAGTATCAGTCTATTCTGCGGTAGGCCTCTGTACTATTTCTCAGTGTACATGGTTGTAGGAACACGCCAGCCATCTAAAATTCCAGTATCACGAGTTACCTGTTTTACCATCGTGAAAGCTATCACCAATGTTGATATCTCGAACTCTCTTACTATTCAACAGCTACCTAAGTAACATAATCGAGTTTATCTGTCTCGATCGAGCACTTCAGTTCAGTCGATTAACAGGAAAGTCGAAATTGAATTAATGATAATAACTGAGGATTTGGCTTTCGTGGCTCGATTGATGCAGTAAATGGCGTTTGGCATTCTTGAATTCCACTGCTAGTCACCACGCACCAAAGTATATCCACTCTTGCGTTGACCGAACTGATCTCATTAGGCATTGTTTTTCAAATGCTTCATTTCAACCAAATTTAATACATGGATGAACTGCTCAACGCGCATTCATATCAAACTCAATATCACCATGGTTCACCTATCAGTGTACGAACTAAAACACCTAAAACACAGGTTAATCTAGACTGTTCTAAACCAAATGTGTTTCCATCATTTCCTGCTAGGCAGGAATATATTCATGAGTCCAAAGTAAATGCAAAATATCATAATTATACATTCTTTGCATGTCTACTAGAATGGAGCTTTTCAGTGACACATCTTCATTTCAATGGGTTACTAACAATCACTTTCAGCTGGCTCCATCATTATCCACAAAATGATTAATTTCTCTTCACATCACTTCAGTGTCAATCTCAGGACCAGTTTAAACTTGCTCAATATGATTCAGGTTGCACTCGAAGACCTGGCATGGGTTGTCACTAAGAGATCTTCTTAGCGTATGCTCAATCCATCCATCTGCACATTCATCTACATGTTTGTCGAGAGGCAGTTACTTGACTGATGACTCGCAGTCAGACGTCATCGAATTTTACTCTTTCTGGTTGAACATGTGATATTCGGAATGGAGAGAGAAAGTAGCTGTGAATGAAAGTCTGCAGTGATCTGGTGATACGCTCATCAAGTCTGTGAACTATGCAGAAGCACTGATCCACCCATCATATTAGCATTTTCAGCTGACTTAATATTCTTTTATCGCTTGATGTTTTTTTCATCCTACTTTGTGCTTGTTACCATGAATTCTCCCCACCCACCCCCACCATGTCGAAGGCAACAATCAAAATCATTGGAAACCCTTATGTTAAGAAAAAAATGTGATACGTTTGTATTACATTTACTAATAACGATTCTACAGAGTTAAAACTAATAATGTGTACACTGAAATAACAAGGTTAGTTGTTACAAGAAACAGAAATCTGCTTTATTGAAAGCTAATCAAGTGTCAATCAAAATATTACAAAATAAAATACATAAGTGATCAACCATTATTATGGCACAAAATTCGAAATATCGCATATTAATTATCTGGACAATAGTTATTTCAGAAGGAAGAAGATTATTCCACCGATAACTGCAACTCCTGCGAGACAGCCGAATACAATGGCCACAATTATTCCTATTCCTATACCTGTCATGAATAAGATAACAACACAATGTAGTGTGATTAACGAAAAATAAGCACGTGAGATATTTTATACACAAATAGAAATCTAATAAAACAAATGCAATCTTACGTTAGCCTCCATGATGAGTCGAAGAGATGACTTCAAGATTTTTGGATTTCTGACAACAGTGTAATTACAAGCCGTGAGCATGTCACAAATATCTATCTCTAAAATCCAGTCTGAAGACTCGAAAAGCGCGAAATTAGATAGGATTTTGCCAGCTACTTAATAGTTCGTTCTATACGCACGTTCGCTGTGTCTAACCGGCGACTTCAACTCTTTCATCCTGAGATGCTTCCTTACCATAATTCGCTAACAAATATTTGTCATGTACGCATGAACATGATACGAGGTGTCTTTCGTTTGTTTAGGCATGCGGAAACAACACAGTTTTTTTATGTCAGAAACATAAAGATCATGTTGGCTTGAGGATATAATTCTATCACACTATGTTCCTCTTTGTGATAAGAATACGCGCCTATGTGTGCGTTCCTTTGTAGTTCTCTTCACTGTTTCGATAAATCTAAACGGAGTTGTCATCACTGAAACGAAATTTAGGTAAAAACCAAAACCCCCTTGAGTAGAGCCTGAATGGGAGGTGATGAGTTCCCTGCGTGTTCAAGTATGAAATAGAAGAGAAAATCGAAGTTATCCTGCAGTCAGTTGGGAGTGACTTCAGAGAGTCGAGTGAAATAGACGTGTGCTCCTGAAGCTCTACGCTTCAGTCAACAACCAGTCAATGAACAATAGTAATACCAACAACAATAACTTCATGCTGAAATAAATGAAAAATGTGACGTCAATATCTACCTAACTGAAGTGTAGTCAAGATGAGTTGAATTCAGTCTTCGTATTATAAAATGACGATAAAGTAAGTAATTAAGCGAATAACACACTGTATGATTACTACTCAATAAAAACATTCACTCACCGCCTTTATCTTTTGAGTCATCAGGTTTTTGCGTTGTAGTAGAAGTAGCCATCGTAGAAGCTTTCTTTGTAGTCTTAGTTGCACCTTCAGAAGTGGTTCCACTCATTCTGGTAGTCTTAGGAGTTGTCTCACCCATAGTTGTTGTCTCTGGAGTGGTTTCATCCATATTTGTAGTCTCTGGAGTGGGCTCCTCTGTAGTTGTAGTTTCAGGAGTGGTCTCCTCCATATTTGTAGTCTCTGGAGTGGGCTCCTCTGTAGTTGTAGTTTCAGGAGTGGTCTCCTCCATAGTTGTAGTTTCTGGAGTGGGCTCCTCCATAGTTGTAGTTTCTGGAGTGGTCTCCTCCATAGTTGTAGTTTCTGGAGTGGTCTCCTCCATAGTTGTAGTTTCTGGAGTGGTCTCCTCCATAGTTGTAGACTCTGGAGTAGTCTCCTCCATAGTTGTAGTTTCAGGAGTCGTCTCCTCCATAGTTGTAGTCTCTGAAGTGGTTTCATCCACTTTTACCTCCGGTGCGACTACATCCTCTTGTGATCTGACTACTATCAACTGAAGTATACAGATCAACACTACGGAGAACTTCATTGTATTTTTGTTCAAGGTTTTATATTGTCTAAAATGTGTTAAGAAAATAGTTTGTTCAGTTATTCAAAGATTGTGCAATGACTGTGTGATCCAGGTCACAGAATATTATTAACAAACATGCGATAAATTATCAGGAAACGGTGTATCGCCTTAAACTTGAAATAAAACAAGTCCTATAAATATGAGGTGACATTGCTGTCTGTAGTGCACTCATCGATAACCCTGTTACCTATTCAGAGTATCTTAATTGTCATCACAGTTGTAGTGGAGACAGAGGTGTCTATTCAACACCAAATCTTCATCCCTTGCGTTAACTAGTGTCAGTATCAAAATTGTGAGTCGATGGCATCTGTGTTAGGGTGATCAGCAATCACGCATTTCGGTTGATTTTGATTCTTGTCTCAATTATGTCTCAAGTCATACACACTACTAGTAGTCAGCTCAGCTTTGTTAAGAAAACACAACTACACTGAAATTCGGAACGCATTAAAGCACTTTACTTTTTACAAATTATTATTATTATTTATATTAACAAATTATGGTGTTGAACTTACCTCACAATACTTCCAAGCAGAGAACTCAAGACCTGAGGTTATTTATAGCGGAATATCTTGTCCGTGCTGAAAATATATATATATATATATGTTTATTTATAATTATAATAATAATTATTATTATTATGAATACCACTATTATCACTGGACAATGTAGTTTGTGTTTACTCAACTCTCACTGGCATCCAGTAGCAAATACCCTACACAATATGTCCTTCATCCACGTGAAACTCAACAACATAAACAAAATTATCTACCTGCATACAAATATTCATATTAATTTGTTACTGAGATTTAATAATATTAAGACCAATAATTAATTAATTAATTGATTAATTAATTAATTAATAATAACAGTAGGTAATTAAGCAATAGAAAAGAAGGGCAAAAGATTGCTGCTAAGCCTTTGTATGTATACCTCAAAATAATCATAGGAGTATTACAAAGTTAGGAGGGCAAGTTGTAAATTCATGTGGAGTATAAAACTGACGATACATGGTATCTGAGATCAGAAATACAAATAGTCAGATCAACATTTTGGATAAAGACTGAATGGTGCTCCATGTGGGTTTCAGACTGCCATGTGTCGTTGGTGAAATATGCCCTTTTCTTCTCTTAATAACACAGTTTACCGAAAAGGCAGAGATTCAAGGTGCCTCTCTGTCCAACATTGGACGTCGCAATTAGGTTATCATGAGACTACAAAGTGGCTGGTACAGGCAGTTGAATCCCTTCGTGATCACCTAGTAAGTCATAGTGTCAGTTTACTGCTGAGTTGAAATAAAATTTGAAAAGAACACACAGATAGATATGTCATCCATTGATGCTACCTCCTTATTCTTCACTAATGTGCCTCTGGTAGACGCCATCCACTATATCTGAGAACAGATTATAGTAAGAACATTGTGCACTGACATTCCTATTAATAATGTGAAGCACCCATCGCTTAGATGTAAAGTTATTGTCCAATGCTTCTCTAATAATGAAATATACAGACAGGTTGATTGACTGGCCTTGCGATTCTGTTGCAACGATGAAGTAACTGAAGCGGGATTGTACTATTGTTGCGTATATGTCGTTTTTGTAATATATGATGGAGGTCTATGTTGTTATATGATTTTTAGCCACATCGGTGATGTTCACCCAGTATGTGCATTTCACCTAATGTAGAAGAATACGATGAGTCTGTGTAATTTCTTGATATCTCACTAACGAGAAGAGATGAAGTTTCCATTAAAAGAACTATATTTATATTGTTGAAGACTGCATCTCAATACGTACACTTCCTCGGCATCACACCTTTGGAATACAAATGTAGTTTTTTATTAGATGTTCAGTATTTAGAACGAGGTCGATTCGCTCGAAACAGTCTCTAGAGACAGAACATCACATCGTCCGGGATATTCTAGGTGGAAATGGAAATTCATAGAGGCTTATAAAAGCTAACATGGGTTATAGTGATCGAAAACATGAACTGGCAATTATGGAGAAAAACGCATTATTTTTGCGCCTACAAGTGAAGAGAGATACCCGTACGCGAGTTCTATCCCAGGGTCTATCCAGAGCGATAGGGAAGACTTTCCACTGTGCACATCTGCACCTGTTCTTCTTCTGTGGCCATCCCTTAGAATGAACGCAAATATGCAGTCACAAATCTCTTTCTTAGATGTAAGTGTTTTGGCAAGTAAATTGTTCATGACAGTAGGAGGTATTACGAGGGAGAGGAATATACTACCCATTGATTGTTTCATTGGGCATCTCATTTTGCTGAGTATGATTATACGAATTATTATTATTATTTTATGCATATCCTGAGTTTTCTACTCCCATGAACAACATTTTTGTTTCCATCAGCTCACAGTTTTATTGACAGTCATTTCTGATTGATGTTCATCGTAGGGAATAATAAAAAAAATGCTGCGGCGAAGAAAATTTTCTTTTCGACAAAGTCATCAACTAGATAGCTGCGTTTATAATAAATGGGTGGGAATGCTCCAGAATAATTTCCAGTCAAGGGTCAAATTAATAAAATTACAATTAGGAATTCAAAATGCCATAATAAACACTAGGGGATGGATAAAACTCAAAAAAAGTAGTATCATAATTACTGAGAAGATTAACATATTGTGCAATTAAGGCTTAAGAAATGTAGAAATTTCAAAAATAAACAGGATATTTTGATCAAAAATCTAGTGGGATCATAACTAATGTGACAAATAATTATTTATGCAATCAGGGAATAAATATGTAGAAATAATAAAATGACAAAACAGGCAGGAGGTTTGGATATAAGTGTGATTACTTTGGGCGCTGGACTGATTCTCTCCACCACAGAGTTCATTCTGTACTTGGTTATCACACACACAAAATTTGTCACCTCACAGTCGAAATCCTAAAACTGCCGGCATTTCTATGCAATCTCATTGCGACTTCATACTTGGTGTTCTTCGGTATATATCAATTGACTTTTAAGGATGTCCACTTTCTCAAAGGTGCTTCACAACAGTGTCAAGTTCCTCACCAAGTATTTCTCATACAACAAGACGTTAATATATGGTCAAACAACTTCATTAAAAGAGGATAGTAAAAAAGGGATGAGTTGTAATAATTATATTTGTTAATATTAGACAGTGCATAAAAGCAGTTGACTAACTGTATTGCAGTTACGTAACAGGATGAACCATGTGATGGGTGAGTTGTAGTCAGAAGGGAAATATAAACGAAGGAGTATATGGATTTATGCAAGAGTTCCGAGGAATTACACGAGTTTTAAGGGGTTATAAAAGCAAACAAAAAACAAAGGATGACGTCAATTGAAATCAACAATAGCTGTCACTTTGATAGTAGGAGTGGCTGAATGATTTACTCCTGTGTGCATAGCTTTTGCTGCTTTGAATTATTGGCTTAGGCTTCAGAAATGCAGAAGAAATGAAGGTGTTCGTTGAGATGGAACGAGTAGTGTTGGCGATAGGTTTAATTATCACACTGCTTATAGAGCCACTCCTACCTTTCTTCAGCCATCTAGGGTAGTCTTCTTGAACCCACTTAGACAAGTATGGATCGAACGACAAATGTGACTGACTCGGGATGAAGACTTCTTCGTAAGATCTAGTTCTACTCAAGGAGAGTCACGATTGCACATGTGTGTGATCCGAGTAGCAAGGGAATTAGTTGAATTTTGTTAACGTTCAACAGGCCCCTAAATGCAACAAGTTCTCAGTTGACCAACTGAAATGGGTTTCCTATGGACTCACCTGATTAAGCTTCCATCGGGTCTTCTTGTTAGTTTCACATCAAGAAAGTGAACTACAGGCTTGTTATTCACTTCAAGAGTGGATTTTATTGTCGAACGGTAGTTATTAAATACTTGTAGCCATTGAATGGCGTCGTAACTTTTATCACCAGTGATGAAAATATCATCTCGACTTCAATGGACCATCCTCGAGATTACAACTGACTAATAATAAAAAAGATGTTCGTGACGACTTATTTCTTTGGTAACTACACTCTTACATGAAAAAGTTGCATATAAATGTGATTGTGCAGCTAAAGAAAACGGATTCACCGAAGAAAGGGTCTTCACTGAACAATGAGTTTCGTTTTCATACATCACTCACAAAGCATATCAATCAACACATGGAAGTAGGAATTCATAAGCAAGTAGAATTTCTCTGCCTTTCAAGCCATGTCACTTACTCCTCTGAATTCTTCTTTCTTCTGCTGTGAATAATTCTAGTTATATTAACTATGTATTATAATTCGTATTTTTCATTCTTGCATTCTTTCATACCATGCCTATCATTAGTGAATCAATAAAATCAAATCAGAGGTATACTCACTAAAGTATTATTATTACTATTTTTCACTTGGGTTCTGAGTTGAATACAGAGATTTAAAAACACGTCTCCACTTTTTTCGATTTCCTACTATCCTCTTCTGCCGGACACAAGATTGTCCATTAATCTCCCATCTCCTCCAACTCGAATGATCTCCTCCATATCACCCGGCCTTTCGTGACACTACGTCAAGTATCTGACCCATAAAGAAGATGGTGCTTACGTATATGAAGGAAGCGACGTCTTTCAAATATACATTCCACTGATAGTCTTTGGTGTTTGTCGCTGCTGGTTGGTCATTTTCACCACCTATTTCATTCCTTTGTTCAGTTGATGGCTTATCTTCTCTGCCTGCTCTTTCTATCAACTTGTTAGCTTTCAGATGAAAGTCTTCGAGCCTGACTGCCAATAGACATAAATCGTCTGCGAAGTCCAGAACATCAAGAGTTATCTCGATGGTCACAAGTATACCTGTCTTCTCGTTCCCGCACACTTTTCGTATAATGCAGTCAACCACAGTTAGAAACATCGTCGATCATAGTACATAGTGTATTCCGTTTGAAAGGTGTTGCTTGATGTCGACGATGAAAAAGTTATTCTTATTAATTATACGAGTTAGAGGAAGTGTCTACTAGAAGTACTGTTTCCGTTCCATTCCTCGTGTTCCAAACGGAGCAGAGGGCTCCAATCTTTGGAGGTTGAATATCTGTGATATTGTTTATCCACATTGGAATTTCTATCCGACTGTCTGGATTACCATCGTATCCTGGCTGACTCCATGGAAGTAAACTTTTTGAGTTTAAGGAGTGTGTCGGCCAGAAGTCAAGTTGATATGATTACGAGCAATATTTTGTGCTCGAAACGTTATCAGTTAATATCACTGTATAACACTATTTGATTTATCAAAATATAATCTTATTCATAGTGGAGTGTCTCCATTTCCTTCAGCAACATTGAGATGAAGTGTGTCTGCTTTGTGGTATGTTCATCAGGCAAAATCCACGTCGCTGGCCTCTTGTATATCCTTGTACCTGTGCACGCTGCCTTCGATTACCAAAATCATTGAAAGCATAGAAGTCTGCGAAGAATCCTCTGTCCTCATTCATTTCACCGAGCCAGAGCTTATCGACCCATGGTCAGTTCTCTTCCTATGCTATTGGCTCCCAGTTCATCTGGCATTCATATCGCCCATGAGGATTTCGATGTTATCATTTGGGATGTTGTCCTTTACTATTTGTAGTTGTCTGTAGAATTTTTCCTTCTTCACTGGTTCCGCGCTGTATGTAACACTGTGAGTTGAATCCTTCTGTCATGATCCTGGATGAAAAGATTAGCTCTCACTGCATCAGGGTTTGGTAGTCACTGGTGACATCATGATAGCCACTCACTGCATCAGTGTGCTCGTGGTTATTGTCTGGTTGGCCAGACCAGAA